CGGGGAAGGTCTTAGCAAAAATAAATAAAAATAAAAATCTCGCTTGCTTATAAACCTTCGATTATAATTACCTAAAAACAACAACACCGGAGCAGATGTTTAAGGCAACACTCACTGGTAAGTCCAAGTGGGTTGAAGGTAACAAGGTCAAAGGTCACTGTAGAAAATGATGTACTTGGGTTAATACTGCTCTCAGGTCAAGGAAAAAACACAGTATAAATTGGCGACCTGTATTTTACTGTATTATGTTGTATTGTGTTGTATTTAACTGTATTATGGGGTATTGTTGTATTTTAATAATAGGCTGGGTGGCGGCTAGTGTCTGTCATTGGGTAGAGCAGATGGTATAGTTACAGGAGACTGGCGGTGGCGGCGGGCTAACGGAGGCTGGTAGATGTTAACAGGTGGCTGGCAAGGCCGTAGAAAGGGTGGGCGGTTTGGCGGGTAGCAATGGCAGGTGTGTGGACGGTGCGTCAGGTCGTCTGGTCATACATAAACTAACCACTGACGTAACTGAAGGAACCGATAGAAAACTCAATATATAGATACATTTTCTCCCCAAGGGTTTCAGCTCCACCGGTGTAATGGTGTGGTGGGGAATGGCTGTATTGTGGTGGCGGCGTTAGTGTGGTGTTATTGTGAGGGTGGCTGCGTTAGTGAGGCGTTATTGTGAGGGTGGCGGCGTTAGTGAGGCGTTATTGTGAGGGTGGCGGCGTTAGTGAGGCGTTATATTGAGGGTGGCGGCGTTAGTGGGGCGTTATTGTGGCGTTAGTGAGGCGTTATTGTGAGGGTCCCTGCGTTATTGTGGCGTCATTGTGAGGGTGGCCGTTGGTGAGGTGTTATTGTAATGGTGGCTGCGTTATTGTGAGGTTGGAGCGTTATTGTGACGGTGGCTGCGTTAGTGAGGCAATGTTTTGGGGTGTAAATAATGGCGGCCAACACCTGAATACAATGGAGGGTCACGGTAGCTCAGGTGATATGGGCGGGTCTACCTGAAAGCGGCTGACGCTCCTGGCTGGTGTGGTAGTAACATGGAATTTGTGATGGAATTATTATTATTATTATTATTATTATTATTATTATTATTATTATTATTATTATTATTATTATTATTATTTATTATTATTATTATTTATTATTTATTATTTATTATTTTTATTATTATTATTTATTATTTTTATTATTATTATTTATTATTATTATTATTATTATTATTATTATTATTATTTTCGTTTTATTGTTATTGTTGCGGTCATTAATGTTACTATTATTATTATTTGTAGTAGCAACAGTAGTAATAGTAGTTTTAGTAAAGTTTTATTCATTCTAGTTATAGTATTAGTTGTGCTAGTAGCTGCTATAATAGTAGGAGTAGTAGTATTCGAAGAAGTGATAGTGATAATTATAGTACTGGAATATATAATTACACAGGAAGTTTGTCATTACACATTACGTTCATACTTATGTCGGTAAATTACTACAGTTGTGGGTCGTTTAGTGCCTCTCAGATAAGTGTTCCACCTGTAGGATATATAAATCATCTAGTATCTCTCCATGTGTGTGTGTGTCTGTTTGTCTCTAACTGCTATATGGCTGAAGGACCATTTAGTTGACAGTGTGGAGGTTGCTTGTGTGACGTAACTCGTTTGTGTGAAAGTTGCGGAACCCAGGCGACCTGACTCCCCTCTCCTCCCTCCCCTAACTGCCTCAAAAGTAACTCCTAAACCTGTCATTAGATTTATGAGAGTTATTGAGCCGAGTTAAATGAGGCAGCGATAAGGTGTAGTAAATTATTTTAGGTCCGTTGTGTATTGTAGAAAATGGTTATATATTTTTAATGAAAGTCTCCACCACAAAACAAATTATTATGAATACCTGATGACAATCTGATCATCTCTGGGGATTCGTCTGAACATCATCTTGGGGTGAGTCAGTGGATGCCTCAGTCTCGGTAGTAAATAATGAACAGTTGCCAGAATCTAGGGCAATAGCAGGCCGCAGGATGACCCTTGTGATCCCCCCGGTGACCTGTATGACCTGCGCCGACCCCCTCTCACTTGTCACGCAGCTGGCAGCCTTGACCCACAACGCCTCATTCCCGCCTTCATGTTAGCCTTAAAACATTCACATATGTGGTGATTTGTATAGTATTTTTGTATCTAAGGGAAGTTTATAGTCACGATGTGTGTATATATATGAATAAATACTGAGTTAAGAGATTTTTTTTAATTGGAAAGGATTAAAAACCACCGATGGCAACCCTGCCTGATCACCCTCTATAACCGGCCCATCTGAGAAGCCCCAAACAACAATACACTGAAAGGTTATAACTGCACTCGTGTTTATTTACTACTTTGACCCAGGTTACGACACCCCGTTTCTTGTCTTTAACAGGTCACGTTTCGTTTAGGATATTAAGATGTTAACGAAGATTAACCCATTAAGTTGAAATACAAGATTCATCACCAAGACATTGTTACGAGTCTCCTATTTACTAGTTTATTTCTCACTAGTACAAAAAAGTGATGTTTCTCCGACTTAATATAAAAAAGAGATACACTACAACTATTATACTACTACTACTACTATTATCATACTACTACTACTAATACTCCTACTACTAATGATGATGGTGATGATACTAAACGTAAAGTAATTCATTGATAGACTTGTACACAATAGTAACAGCCCACGATTGTACTGGCGGGTATAAGAGGTATTTTGTCGCCAAGGTTACAACCCCCCCCACCCCCCCCTCCTTACACACACACACACACGAGTGACGGCCAGGGGTCTTTTGTCACACGAAAACCCGCCATTCAGCTCTATTTTATGCCGGATTCTCTCTCTTGTCTGCGTCGATGTCAAGCAGTTGTTATACATATTTTCTCCCCTTTTCTGCAAGTTTTGTGTTTTTCTTTAGTGTTATGGGATATTTACCTCTGTTTTTGTCTCTTCTCTTTTTATCTCCTCTATCTTCTCTCTCTTCTTTCTCCTCTCCTCTCTCTTCTTCTCTTCTCTCTTCTTTCTCCTCTCCTCTCTCTCCTCTCTTCTTCTCTCCTCTCCTCTTTCTGAATGCTAATACTAGTTCATTCAGTAATGCTATTACTACTAATAGTAATAATGATAGTACGAATAAAAATTGTATTATAGTAACAATGAAAATAATAATAATGATAAAAATAATAATAATATAATAACTGACCTAAGCAATTATTCTCATCTTCTCAAGTTATCAACTTTTGGCATGTCTCGAGGAAGGGTTAGGTTAGGGTATTGTTGATTGACCTTTGAGATGAATATTTGAGTATTCGGTATATATATATATATATATATATATATATATATATATATATATATATATATATATATATATATATATATATATATATATATACACTGTATGAATTTTCACCCAATAAATTCAAGTTAAATCAGGTATGGTGATATAGTGGTTGGTCCGTATAGTGACGTTAAGAGCCACATCACGGTGAGAATTAACATGATAATAATACTCGCGTGATGAAATATCTATAAGATTGTATTCATCGACGCATAATGTGAGCGGAGGGAAGACTTCAACTTTCACTTTCGCTTTAACTAAAGGTCACGTCTCAGACTATCTGGCGTCACGCTCACGGGATCTTAGAGGTCATGTAAAGGTCACTAGAGTTCATAAGATGTTGTTGGGTTTGGTCAGATTAGGTTAGGTTAGGTTGGCTTGGGTTAGGTTGGGTTATTAGATTAGGTTAATGGGATTTTTGAGCGCCACAATCCTATACCAGGACTTGAAAGTTCTTTTTTTGATGTAACTGTTTGGTCTTGTGTTCAAGTATATACCCGGTAAATAAATTCCTGTAAGAATCTTCTGTTCTCTCACACACCGAGGCGATTTAGAGGTCATATGAAAGTCGTTGATGATACTGTCCCCCCCACCCCCCCCCCCCCCCACACACACACACAAGGAGTTAAGGGGTGATGTAAAGATCAGACACAACGGTGATCTGTGTACACAATATTTGAGATAAGACTCCATCGTAAATATTTGTTGTTATCAGGGAAGAAGTGTGTGTGTGTGAGCTCTCTCTCTCTCTCTCTACTATGGTTCACACAATTTAGTCTGGTTAAGTGTCAGAGCTCAACACGACCCCGTACATGAGAACAAGGTGGTAGTAACTCTCGACAGGAGCTGCCATGCACAGGCCAACCGGCCTATTGCAGACTCCTTATGTTCTTATATTGCCATAACTCACACCTGCTGGAGAGAGAGAGAGAGAGAGAGAGAGAGAGAGAGAGAGAGAGAGAGAGAGATGCTCAGAAGACAATTTTTTTTACAAGGTTCATGTTGGAAACCTCCTCAACTATTAGTCTTATATATACTTGTTAGGAGTGAACACATTGAACACATACATACCCAAGATATCTCGGCTAGGTTAGGCTGGTTAGTTTGGGTTAGGTAGGGTAGGGTAGGGTAGAGATGATTGCCTGCGTATCGTATCGTACCACTCACTCCTGACAACCGGAAGAGACCTTGACAGTCAGCCTCCAGAAAGCATGGGAGAGTTGGAGACGGTGCTAATAATTTTAAGGTCAAGGTGATAGTGTGTTATACTGTACACACCTTATCTTAACCCATAGCCAATGTTATCAGCTCTGTTATACATGTTGCCCTGCCCTGCCCTCACCAACTCAAACCTGTTTTAATGTTGGTGTGACCGAAGCTGTTTATCACGTTCATACTCTGCTTTCTTGTTTTGATTTTTTGTTTGTTTGCCTATTTTTAATTTGTTTATCGTCTTTTTTATCTCTTTTTTTTTATCTGATTTTGATAATTTTTAGTATATGTGTATATTATTTTTCTGTATTTTATTTATTTATTTATTTATTTATTTATTTATTTATATATTTATTATTTATTTGTTTGTTTATATGCACTATCTTCCATTGTTTATAGTTGTAATCCCTTTAATTAAGTTCTATATTCTCTCTTCGTTTCCCAGGCAATGTAGACATCGTGAAAGGGAACTTAAAGCTGATCCTGGGTCTCATCTGGTCACTCATCATGCACTACCAGATCGGCCAGTCCAAGTTCCCGCCCAAGAAACTCATGCTGGCCTGGCTCAAGGTAAGGGCGGAGTCCTCCCACCCACACACACACACCCGGATTCTTCAGGATTCACACGATGCGTTTTTAATCACGTCACTGAGGGTAGAAGAACGCATCTCATTGGTTGATTTGAGAGTAAAGGCCCCGATTAGGATTCCGATTGGTTCTTGAGCTTCTTAAGTTTCTCACAGACTTTCGACTTTCTCTCTCCCCTGGAGGGTTAAAATTATTCATATTCATATCGAGGAAGAAGACGAAACATTCTGGAAAATCATGTTGTGTTATATAATGATCTTATTTAAGGAATTTGAGAGTATATTTAGTGGTTTCCTGTCGAGGGGGAAGGAAGTTGAACACAGGTGACAAGAGGTGGCAGGTCAGGTACGCCCACCTTGGTGTAGTTTTTACCAGTATTGTCATGTTGAACCTTTTTTTCGTTTTTATGAGTAATTTAAATATTTTTTTCCGCTTCTCTCTTCGCTTTCCGTCAGAACTTATACTAATTCGCCATACTTTTTTTTTATCCATATATTTTTAGTTTCCCGCCATTTACAGTTTTCTGCCATATATTATAGTTTTCCGCCAAACTTGCATTTTCCGCCATACTATCGACTGTTTACACTGCCCTGAGAGCGTTCATCAGTAATCATGGTACATGTACTGCTTGGTTAAGACAGCTTGTTGTAACGGGACAGTGTGAGGAAATGTTGGGGAGGTATCATGACTGGCTACTTTCTCCACCGTTTACATTTGCATTTAGTGTTGGGGAGAAACCCTGTTGAGGAGCGCTGTGTGCCTGACCTCCTCAGCCCGGCTCATGCGACGCCAGTCTTTAGCTCACACGGCAACAGAATTCCTCCCACACCACCGGTACCTGGATCACACAACAACAGATTTCCTCCTAGTACTCTTGGTACCCGAGTTACACCTATGACGCAGCACTTGTACCTGGGTCACAAAACAGTCAATTTCCTTCCTGTTATACGAGTTATACAGTACAGGTACCCGACCTTCACCCGACCCACACAGTATTGTTTCCCTGGTCAGACTGAGAGCAACAGGTTCCATCTTAGTGACCTGGTTAAATAACAGGCCCTAGGTACCCACTGGCCTCTACCCAGGTCAAGCAGCTCGTAAGGTACTCGCCCTGTACCCAGTCATACTGTACACCAATTATCCTCTAAACATTCCGGTCACGGAGTACGGGTACCCACCTTGTACCCGGGTAATCTTTGGTACATTTTCTGTCCGGATTAGCGAGGACGCTGCTTCAGGGCCTGGGTACTTTCGTGTACTGTACTAACACTGTCCCCATGAAGCTGCTCTTCATTGGACCTCCAGGTGACTTGTTTCTTATAACTGATAATAGTACTTTGCCAAAAAATATAAAAATCAGTTAATCACTGCTCTCCTTGAATAATAATAATAATAACAATAATAAATTTACGCCGAGACGTATTGCACTAGCACCCCCTTAAATACCGTTCTCTAAGTTGCTGTAAGGTTGGAGGGGAAACTGGTGTATTTCGACAAGTTCCCCGCTACTCGGCTGAGTTTCTCAATCGTTCACATATTTAATTTTCCTCGTGTCTAGGTATAAGACTGTAATTATGACCAGGTGTTTACTCACTTAGGAGTCTCAGTGCAGTGTTGATACAATTTTGCTTGACACTTTTTGTTGTTTCTTAAAAGTGAGTTGGCCGTATTTCCACGTAACTATACGAATAACTAGAAAATAGGGAATATAATAACTCGTAGTAACTCGTAACTTCAGTTCACTTGTCAACATCTCTACTTATGGTGTAATGAAGTCATAATCCACAAAAGTTATCCGTTCTGAACTTGGCTTCTGTGCTGTGGGAACGTTCTTTAATCTCTCCAGCCAACAGGTCATGTAACTGTGATTCCTGCAACAACTTCCCCAACACAAGAACCTCCGCTGCCTCCTGGGTCATATTTTATAGTATCTTGTGTATTTTGGTTTAACAGGTTACATAAGCTTTATATTACGTCCACAGTACATATTATTGTTTTTGTTGTTCTTTACATAATAATTGGTATCGAGTGTTGCATATGGCATTTATGTCCCTACAAAATATAAACATCACTATTACTTAAGTGTTGAATATATGACTTAAAGCTATGTTGTGTTACAATCTTAACTTCCCTCTAATGCTGTGTTGTGTTACAGTACTTAACCTCCCTCTAATGCTGTGTTGTTACAGTACTTAACCTCACACTAATGCTGTGTTATGTTACAGGCGGTGCTACCAGACTGTCGCATTCACAACTTCACTTCAGACTGGAACAGCGGGGTGTACCTGAGCGCCCTCCTCGACTACTGTAAACCCGGCCTCTTCACCGACTGGAAGACGCTCAACCCCCGCAAATCGTGAGTAGCCTTCAACTTTTGTGGGTGAACTAGAGCAGATTGGTATCACCTGAAGATTAGGCACCCCCAGTTTATTTGAAAACCTGATGATTTAAACAACCCAACCCAACCTCCAACCTAATCCCACCCCACCCCACCCCACCCCCAACCCCCAACCTAGCCTTATAACATCAACTAATCATATGTTGTGAATACGGCAGGGTGGATAACTGCAAGAACGCCATGGAGATCGCCAAGGCAGAGTTCAACATCCCTATGGTGCTGGACCCGGAGATCCTGGCCTCACCCTACCTCGACGACCTCTCCGGCATGACCTACCTCTCTTACTTCATGAAGGAGGGCGGCCCAGGTTATAAGGCCACCCTTCAGTGGGTTCAACGTCAATTACCCGACAGGAATATTAAGAATTTTACGGTTAGTGTGGTTGTAGAGGATGGGTGGGAAAGAATGGGTGAGGTAAGGGGGTGTTGGTGGGAGGGATGAGGGGAGTTGAGTGGGAGGGGTGGGTGGGTGTTGTGAAGTGAGTTATGTGGGGATGGGTGGGAAGTTGGGTGAGGGGAGTGGATTAAGACAGGAGGTGTGTGTGTGTGTGTGTGTGTGTGTGTGTGTGTGTGTGTGTGTGTGTGTGAGCACTCGCCTCTTGACCCGACGATAGTTGGTTCGAGCCCCAAGACCTGCCACTGAGGTGTCCCCAGTCGAACCAACTGTAAAATGAGTAATTATGTATACAATTTAGGGAAAGTGTATGAATGTTTGTATAATTGTGTACATTTGTATGACACAAGAAATCATCTCAAGCGTCAGCTCCACAAGAACCAAATCATGAGTACCTGTAGTAACCGCCGCCTCACTTTACAGACCAACTGGAACGACGGCATCAACCTCTCGTCGCTGGTGAAGCAACTGGGCGGACCTGTGCCCGGCTACAAGAAGTTTTCCCCTGAGCCCAAGAACTGGGAGTCCAATATCCAGATAGGTATGTATGATTTTCAGTGGTCGGTACATGACACTGCTTTGTAGGTGTTGCCAGTGTCATTGTCAGCTGTAGGTAGAACCATTCTAATAATACTAAAGGGTTTTATTCCGTCTTCCAATGACTCCAACATTAATCTGATCACCTGATTGTCACTACATCACTCAAACTTAATTTTCTTGTAAAGGTTCGCATCTCCTGATCATCACTCCATTATCTTGTAATATTGTGAATTATTTATCAACCCCTACAGCTATCGACGGCGGGAGAAAACTTGGGGTGGAGCCGGTGTTGGCGGCGTCAGACATGGCACGACCAGATGTGGAGTACCTGGCTAACATGGGCTACATCGCTTACTACCAGTGGATCCGCCCGAGGGACTGTCCCTCAGACACGATCGCCGTCAAGTGTGACCTCGACAACGTCAGAGTCAACAACCCGGTAAGTCTCGAGGCTTTGGTTCAAGAGGACGAGTCATTTTAAGTCAGAGTCTTCAAATACAGGGTATTGCTTTCCCCAAGACTCCCCACACCGTCCAGCCAGTGTTGGGAGGACACACACATCAGATCTTGACACAGTGTATACAGGCAGGTGGCGATCAACTTTATTTCAAGAAAAACAAACCCACGCATACACGTTACATGTTATGGATTACTGGACATAATATATAAAACAACAGTAAGTTGAACAGCCTGCCAGACATCCTTATTGGTTCATATCCTCGTACAACCTAGTGACTGGATTCAGCACCTCCCATAGCAATTAATATTATCGCTATTAATCTCCTGCAGCAGTAAGTGTGTGATGGTTGAGGGAGATATACCCTGCATTAACGTGTTCTCAGTCGTACTCGCTGAGTGATAGACAATGTCGGGTTGCCTGGAGGAGTGTCATCATTGTTGTGACGATCGTTTCCTCGTATATCGCCAGTTATCAACACTGTTTTATACACATCTTGGTCCCAGAATTCAAAACATCAACTTCCCCGTATGTCATCACACTGAGAGCTTTACGAGTAATTCTATTTTGTTGTCTTCATTTTTCTCGCTGTTGTTTGTCGGACATCATGATTACTGTATCCTAACCGTAGTGTGAACTTAACTCAGGTGTGCGGGAAGGAGTGGAAAAATCGGTGAAGGTGTCAACCTTTAATGGGGGTAGCTGTTGTTGCACCGCCTCTTTAACATTCTACCCACCCTACGTGTCCAACCTGTCACTCACCGCCACGCCCACAATATCGTCCACAACTATACCCACGCCGATACTTACGCCCATTTCCAAACCCTTGTCCAAATCCATGGTGATGTTGACACCCATGCATACGTCTACGTCCGCGTCGATGTTTACGTCCGCCCCTACATGTCCGACCACGTTTGTGTAAGTCGATATTAATTAAGAACGCCGCCCTCGTTACTCCCGCCTGTCATCTGCCTCCACACTACTACATTATATATACAGTTCTCACCCCACTAACGCCTTCCTAAAATTACCTAATTGACGATGCGGTAGTTAATTAAAATATAACGGGGGACGTCCGGTTGTGGCGTAACACGTGTGAACACTTTTGTACAGTTACTATAATGAGGTGAAGATGGCGGCAGCGGCGTCACAGTCACCCATAACGTATGAAAGGAGTCAAGAGTGAGTGAGTGAGTGAGTGTGTGTGTATGTGTGTATAAAGGTCTCAACATCCGTTTTTCGTATAACATTCCTTTACGGGAACTTTATATATATATATATATATATATATATATATATATGAATATATGAATTGGGAAGTTGAAATACATCCCTTTACGCCTGGTTGACCAAATACTGCATATTGATATAATTGACTTCAACGTGGATCATGTTTAATCCATTCACCGTAATGATCACGTAGGAAATCCACCACAGTGAAGATTCACACACAGTACGCCACGGGAAGCGCCGCTCGTGTTCCGGAAGCTGTGTTAAGTTGCCGCACACCATTAACTTAATGTTCTTATTTTGATCTTATTCTTAACTGCATCCATTGTCCATTAAAGCAGGGATTTTAATAACTAAACGAAGAGCATCCTAAGCTAGAAGTTGAGAGCTAATTGGTAAACGAGAATTGTGTGTTAGAGGGAAAAGTGCATGAGTATGGGTGTGCATGGTGAGGGGGAGCGAGCGGTCAGTGAGGTGGAGGACGGCGCCACAGACGTACACTGGCCTGGGGGTGTGACTGCCAGGGGATGCGGGACTTAATACACTTGTACGTCGACAGTGTTTTATCATCGCACAGTTCCAGTTATATTAACTTAGAAAATATGTACAGTTATATATTTTCCCGTTAAAGGTATTTTAATTTTACGGTGCAGTGAAAAGTACGTGTGATTATGTATTTTCCTGCTAGACTGTTAATTAATACCATTATTAACTGCAGTGCATGGTGATAGGAAGCTTTTGTTATTATTGTGTAAAATGATTGTTTGTGATTAAGGGAAATACAAACGAAACCTGAAAAGATTCGTGACAGTTTTGACGGAGATTCATAACTTTTAAGTTGAATTAAGAAAAGTGTTCTGCCAGTCGTGGAGGTGAGGGCAGGTACTGTGAGTGTCATTATTTTTGTCAATACAGTTAAATGCAGCGAAAATGTTACATATTTTGTGAAAGAACAGTGGAATACAGTGTGGGAGTGTTTGATGTGTGTACAGTGATACAGTGAGAACACAGTTTATGTACAGTGAAGGAGTGTTTCATACACCTATATTGTGTCAGTACAGTGGTGTTCGTAGTGTCGGGTATGACGGTGTCAGCACAGTGTAGTAGTGTCGGGTATGAGGGTGTAAGCACAATGTAGTGTCGGGTATGAGGGTGTAAGCACAATGTAGTGTCGGGTATGAGGGTGGCCGTGTGGGGGACGAGCACCATCGTCCACCTGGTAGTATCCAGTTACCTACAGAAGGGTATACGGGCGCCTGGCACCACAGCCCGGCGTCTCTAGTGGAGGGTGAGCGTGTTGTTCATTTCTCCACCAAGACTCGCGTCAGTTTTATGTGGAGGTCAGCACGAATATCGCTCATGTCTTCTCTCTCGTCTGTTTTATCGTTAAGACCAATACCCATGTCCTTTTTAACTCCCATGAACACACGTCATTCATGTTTTCATGAATAATAAATAATAAAATAAATAAATATGAAGTGATAACCGTGGAAACACTATGAGATGTACTTATTACTACCATGCTATTGTACTATTCCAGATGATACTAAATGTTACATAATACTTCCTTGAGATAAATGTATAGTATATATCAGGTGCCTCAAAGAGAGCTCAGGTTCTCAACTGGCTCAGCCATGTTAATATTGTTATTATTATCCACTCTGTATCTGTGTTTTTCTGGCTAAATAAACTGTTTCAATTCAATTCAATTCAACACGCATCTCGTTCATGAGGGGGCAACACGCGCACCTGTGGTGGTGATGGCAGGGGTGTAAGTGTCGGCGCCTGGGGGGTCAAGGGATGGAGGCGTAACAGTACAGCATATTGATCATAAACACAAGTAGTGATCACCGCCTGGGCACCTCCTGCTTTCTCGGTCTACATCACAGTACTGTAGTTAGTGGGTGATCGTTACTGACACTGTAGTACTTAACATTGTCACGGAACTCAGAGGGATTTGTGTATTGTCGTCTGCCTGACTTTGAATAATATGAGAATGACACTTACAGTACAGTATACTTGTATCGTAGGTAACTGTGGCTTTCATGTTACACACACACACTCACACACACAACGATCCCTGTCTGGATAATCGGTTAATCAAATTCCCCACGGTTGTAGTTCCGGCGGTGGCTATAATGTTCACTGTCCCCAGAGCCAAGAATTCACTCGGGTTCTCTTTTATTATCTAACCCTTCCCTTATTATATTATTTACATCACGAGAATATTAGGCACACCCCCACCTTATTAAACACCCAAGTCCTAACCTAACCTAACCAAACCCAACCAACTCCTCCCTAAGTGGAGTTATATCAGATTAGTAGGTGAAATAAACTGGAGTGTTTAATCTCTACTTGATGAATACCTACAATGACTTGATAATTTTTTTCCTGCTGTGACCGTATAATTACTGTACAGGTGAGATGTGAGTTTGTCTTTTGTGCTTCATGAGAATATTCCGACAAGTTCCACCTGGCAGAATGACATGGGAGCCAACATCAACAACAGTTCTGTCTCAGTGGGGTCGTAAAATAATTCCTTTTATAAATATCATTAGTAAGGTAACGAGTTGAGATGGTTAGGAAGTTATAAATTAGTTATTGGTGGTGGAGGTGAGGTGGTGTACAGTACAGGTGACACTGGCGGTAAGACGAAACCAACTTCAGGGTTAAGGTAACGGAAGCAACACCTTACCTACCTACACACACACTATCTACGACTGTCAACCCGGCTGCTAACATTACATGACAGTACATTAATGATTTTCCCCCTGTTTTATCGGTGCGAGACGTTTAATATCTTGGTAATATTGTGGAATTTGGGTAGACAGAGTTGGAATTCTCAGAGATAAACATTAACATTCCCTATGAAAGGAACACAAAATAAAAAGAATTGATTTCTATATTATCTTACCTAATAAAAACAAACTTAAAGAATTCGAGAAGGATTATTTGTTTCTTCAGGTGAGGACGAGATGACCGCCAGCCAGGTAGAATACATCTCATCAGGTACTCGAGGTCAGGTCATGAGAGGTCAGGTCGTAAAGAAACTTAACAAAACACGGGAATTTATTTTTACGAACAAGGCAAAAGAAAAAAAGAAAAGAAAGATGGAGTTTATTATTATTATTATTATTATTATTATTATTATTATTATTATTATTATTATTATTATTAGCTGATGTCCATATTTGCTCTTCAAAGGATAAATATGGCCGACCTCTTGTTTAGTATGGGGTGTGTAATCTCAGACTCTGTAGGAATAACCAAAAGAAAAGAACAAGAGACTAGCAGGAAGCGTCCAGAGGTGTCGAGCGAGATCCCAGTAACACGATGGGTGGTGTGGTGGACAATCTTCAGCGGCGGTAGAGTGTTATGCAGCCAACCATTCCATCTATACTTCAGCTGTCTGTCGGGTTTCATAGCTCTCTCTCTCTCTCTCTTTCTCTCTCTCTCTCTCTCTCCTTACAGTGTCACAGAACTAGAGATTATTAATACCCTGTAAAGTAGCGTTTTTTCCTAGCGTTGATGTTTCCTCCGTGAAATTATTAACAGGGCGAGGACTGTTAACTTTGGGAAAATTAATTGATTGTTTGGATTACCTGAAAATTAGCCCCATTGCTTATTCCACCTAAATATTAACCACCTTAATGGTAACCTAACGTAATCTACCACCCCCCCCCCCTCCCTCAGGTAATGTTAGGGTGTTTAATCATCAGGTGAAATAAGCTTGGAGTTGTTAATCTTCAGGTGATCAGACGCTCACACACTCGGGAGTTTAACAGGGACTGTATTGTATTTTCTGTTGGTTTGTGTAGACTGAGCGGTAAATTAAAAAGACATTATACACGTACGCATGTGAGTCAGCAACAGGTGTCCAGTGAAGGGCCGGCGGGTGATGGTGAGGTGCAGATGGTGTGACGGCAGTGGTTGTCCGTCACGCCGCCTATGTACAAGTCTTCAACACCTTCCCTCCTGTGTCCAATACCTTGATGTAGCAGACCATCCACACAGGCTCCACCACCTCTCACAATATCCCCCAAATCTTGTTTTCAAAACGTTTACTCACAGCTTTATCATTTTATCTTCAACATTATCATTTCATCTTTATTATTAACTACCAAGTGATCCGGCTTGTTGTTCCTTCATTGCTTTCCTCTCTATTTTAGTTCATACGTTATCATCCCCCGTGACTGAGAGTGGTGTGGCGTGAGAGGCTTGGATTGGATGGTGGTGTTGGACGCACGCACAGTTCACTTCAGTTTTATTCAGAAAAATAAATCACCATACAGGGGCAGGTCCAAGAAGTTGTGGGTGGGGGAACATGGCGAGTACAGTGAGCCCACCCAGCTTGGGGGAGGGGGGGGGGCTCTGAGCCCCCCCCTCCCCCGAAAATGTTTTGAAACCTGACCAATATCACAGGCATTTTGAAGCTTTGTGCACTTGATCTTAAGAGATATTCTGAAGTCAACAGTAAATCCTTTTTACTATACAAAAATGCCTGAGTTCAATACTGCACTAAAGAAAAAGGGGGGTCCAGACCCCAGGACCCCTTCTGGATCCCCTCTTGCCATAAAAGTTTGCATAAATTTAGTAGGTGTATACACTGCAGGCATACACTTGAATATTAATATAGATAATGCTCACTTCACCTGATGTTTAAACACCCTAACGCTATCTGGGGGTTATCTTACAGTGTTCAGTCATCAAGTGGAATACGCTGGGGTGTCTAATCTTCACGTGATCCACTACAGTCATTTAATCTCCTTTGTATATTGTGTTGTTTGGTCTATTTTCACGGTGATCAAGAGTGCCATGCATGCGGATAGAGGCCACAGTTAATTCTAGCATTTCACTCACACTGAGGTAGAGATGTGAGGGTGTACAATTAAGATCTCACTGGACTGTATCTGACTTGAAAATCCCACAATCAGAAGAGTAGTGTTGAGAAAATTGGGTGTGATCTGTTGAGCTACACATTCCTGTCAGCTGCAGCACCTCAACCAAATGTAAGCACATGGCAGTTTTTTTTTGGGGGGGGGGGGGCTGTTTGTCATGGTTCTTAAATATTTGTCTAAGTCTAGCCCTGATTTTCAATATGACGTGGCTTGTAACGTTGTCCACGAACATGTAAGAGTCACGAAATCCAGTCTAGCCACAGCAGTCTTCTCTATGCCACTGCAGCCCGAGTGTTCACTTTCTTTGTGTCGGTGAATGAGCTTATGTTGGTCTCCGAGACGTTGCTGTAAATAAAAATAGCTGAACTGTTAAGGCTATTTAATTTTCTATTTAACAAAATATTTTTTGGTAATATATGTTATAATCTGAAATGTTTTTGGCAAAGATATATGCTTCCTGAGACATGACCTATGAAACTTAATGTTTCCTAAGACATAATAAGTGACATAATTTTCCACCCAAAACACCACAAGACACCAACGGGTGTTCTGTTTTGCCAGCATACTCGTTAAGACAATCCTCCTCATCACCCTATGTCTACCTCAGGTGCCTTTCAAGATAGAGTTCCTGACGAAGGAAGTGGTGCTGAGCGAGATCGAGGTGCTGGTGAACGGCCCATCTGGTCCCATCAGAGTGGACTTAGACCTCTCCCCCAGAGGTGGCAGGGGAGCCTTCATCCCAGAAGAAGTTGGCATCTATGAGGTGGGTTGGCGATGTCAACTTTGGTAGGTAGGTGTCGGAGTAAGTGTTGCGGGATATAGTTTATGATCTATGTTCATTATGGTTTTTGTTATAGATAAAGTAATGATAGAGATGGTAAGTGTGATAATACATGTTGAAGTAGAGGTGGCAGGAATTATTGATATTGTAGTTGTGATATGGTTTAAAATACAAGCTAAATATTATATTATATGTCTCTCGATACGAGTAGAAAAAAATCACGCACTCTTTAGTTTCTGGAGAGAGCGATTTTGTTTTATCTGTCTTTGTTGTGTTTCAGTTGACTGTGATCAACGAAGGAGAGGTGGTAGAAGGTTGTCCTGTGAAGGTGCGGGCGCTACCAGACGTGTCCAAGATCATGTTCTCTGGTATTGACCCCTGCGCCCTCGGCTCCATCGTTGAGGTCCTGGTCAGTACAGTACCTCTATCTATTTCAGTGTTATCCCAAATCTTTACATGTGTCTTACCTCCTCTTTTATGTTTTGTGTCATTTTCTAATGTATTACTTATCATGAAATATACAGTTCTGTAATCCTAAGTTGATCTTCTTGAAATTAAGAGGCAAAATACCTTAGTCCAGTTTATTTGTATCCCCTTTTCACTCCTTAAGTTTATTTATTTTATTGTTGTTTTTTAGATATTTATCTCTACCCGTCGAGTCTTGGGAGGTTACATTTACAGTAGTTTATTTATGAGTTCTTAAGACTCGTGACCGTGACTGTAAGATTGGTCAGTTGAGCTTTAATCTTCACTTATTTTGTCACCAGGAGGACTTGTGGGTAATGTCTTCAACCATATAATAAATTGTTGATGTGAATTTTAGGCAGATTGCCGGTAGTTATGTGGTTTATTTACTAAGTTTTAATTTTGTTATGGTATTCCCTCTTGCATTTCTCGGGTAACCTCTTGTGTACAGGGTCCCCTCTGTGCTGAATAAAATCATCTGGTGCTAGCCAAGTAAAATACAAAAAGTGGAATCTCTGTAGTGAATGGGTTAAATATTGATTTTTAGCTTAATAGTACAGTATTTTTACTTATAAAATCTTTTACTTATAACATAATTAACAATTTGCTTGATTTACAACCTACTGTATATAGTTTAACAATACATTGTACATAAATTGCATTATACTCTTATAATGTCTGAGGTATTATGGTGTTGAACAGATCAACAGTAATGGTGCTGGTGGTGGAGACATCGAAGTGACAGCTTACTCTCCAACCAACCGCCCTCTGGCATGCCCTGTCAAGGTGGAGGACGGGGTGTATGCTGCCACCTTCCAACCAGATGAGGCTGGTCAGTGGTCCATCGCTGTCTGCTATGACGATGAGCACATACAGGGTTCTCCCTTCACCTGCCATGTGTATGACCCACACGGACTTAAGGTGAGCCATCGTCTCTCTTGGTGATGCTCAGTATTTCAACTAGATGAGAGTGATTTTCTTTGATTATGGTTACAGTTGGCCTCTCAGCCACTGGAGTTCGAGGAATGAGTTATATGTACAGTGATATAATATCAGAACAGAATTAGGTAACATGTCTGTTTTTCTTGCCTCTTGTGTTAGTTATACAACCTGGATGATGGTCCAGGATCTAGCCCAGGGAAGCCCTTCACCTTTGTGGTAGATGCCACCAAGTGTGGATGGGGGGACGCAAAGGTGGATGTAACCCAGGGTGGTCGCTCACTGCAGGCCAAGACACTGGAAGTGGATCTCGGCATCTATGAGGTGACCTTCACTCCCACTGAGGCTGCCAAACACAAGATCTATGCCTACTTCAATGGTCATGAAGTAAAAGGTTAGTGCTGGGTCAGAGGACTCTACTGTAACGGTATGACAGTACCAAGTGTTGCATATTACTGAACTTTATGATGATCATTACATCTCTTGTAGCACCACGTTGGAAACACCGCTTCTTGTCTGATCAGCGAAGTTAAGCAACATTGGGTATTTGGATCTAGGCTGTCCTTGGTCAAGTTGACTGAAAATCAATTATTTTTATTATAAACCACAAGACAACTTGGTGATATAGTGTACTTTGTTTCTTTCTTCGTGTGTATTGACACAGTACAGTATATGGTGTAAGCATGTAAAATGTCAGAAATTATCTTGGCCGAGTTTTATTGTTCATATGCATTGTGTTCACCATTCTCTTCCTGTCCTCAGGTTCACCATTCTCCTTGTACTTGGGCATTGAGAAGCCACCTGAGAGGAAGGATTCAAAGTCAAAAAAGAAGAAGTCATCCAACAGAGAGAATAAAGACCCAAAGGTGAGTATGTGTGCATGTGTGAGCGGTACAGATCATGATGTACTGTGTTATGGTGATGCCTTTACTCAGCTCTGATTCTAAGAAAACCATAACAAAATTATTCTCCTTTCCATTTCAGAGCTCGAAGGAAATTGTAAAGGAGTATTCAGGATCAGCTCTTGTCAACTCCCCAAGGCTTAGCTCATCAAACAGCCCTGACTCAACCTACAAGTCAACGCTCACTAAGACTTATGATTCAACACACAAGAGCTATGATGCAACACACAAGAGCTATGATTCAACACACAACAAGAGCCATGATTCAACACACAAGAGCTATGATTCAACACACAACAAGAGCCTTGATTCAGCACACAATAAGAGCCTTGATTCAACACACAATAAGAGCCATGATTCAACACACAATAAGAGCTATGATTCAACACACAACAAGAGCTATGATTCAACACACAACAAGAGCTATGACTCCTTGAACAAGAGATACGATTCACCAGTCAATAAGAGTTATGATTTACCAGTCAAAAAGAGCTACGATTTACCAGTCAATAAGAGTTACGATTCACCAGTCAATAAGAGTTATGATTCACCAGTCAATAAGAGTTATGATTTACCAGTCAAAAAGAGCTACGATTTACCAGTCAATAAGAGTTACGATTCACCAGTCAATAAGAGTTATGATTCACCAGTCAATAAGAGTTACGATTCAACAGTAAATAAGAGTTACGATTCATCCATCAACAAAAGCTATGAGTCAGTTCACAACAAGATCTATGATTCATCTCTCAATAGGTCTCATGACACCAGCCACAATAAGAATTATGAAACAGTGTTGCATAATACCTATGATGTTCCTGTAGTGAAGTATGATTCTACTCCAAGTAAAATGTTTGATTCGTCGGTGACAAAAAGCAGTAGCAACACTTATGACTCCATCAACAACAAGTATGTTAACTTTGAGTCCTCCTCTGTCGTCAATAGGAGCACTGTGTATGACTCAAGTTCCAAGAAACTCAGTAGTGCCTACGAATCAAGTCCACCAAAGATCTCCTATGACTCGGCTCCAAAGAAGATTAGTACTTATGACTCGAGTCCCCCAAGTCCCTCAAAACTAGACTCAAGTTTCAACAGAAGTCCACCAAGTCTCAATTCCAGCTATAATAGAAGCAGTGCCCTTGATTCCAGCTTTAACTCCACCTTCAATACCTCCACCTCAACAGTTATAAATACAGGGATCACCACCAACAAGTCCTCCTCGGTGTTCACCAAATCCTCCAGTCCTGCCAGACTCCACTCGTAAGTCAGATTAAGTGGCTACATGTGTACTGTAAGGTGGCCATTACATTGTACTGTATCATAGTAGGGGGATGGATCACGCATGACTTTCTTCTTTTTGTAATCAGACATACACACACTATGAATTCCATTTCTATATGTACAGAAACTGAAAATCCACTAATAGCTTGTCACATACTGATTATGAAATATTTTGCTCCGATTAGAAAATTCACTCTCGTAACATACCATTTTCAGAAGAGTCGGTCACTAACGGTGCAGTTTTTATTATTATTACAGTAATATTATTATTATTATATCTTGGTAATGGAGTGTGTGTGTGTGTAATAGTGCTGTTCACCGCCACAGTCCTGGTCCCCGCAAGTCTGCCTCCCCTTCACCACCCCCACCCAGGGCACTCCGAGCCACCAGCCCACTAGAACTGCCCCGTGCTTCACCAATTCGCTCTATCAGCCCACCAGTGGCACCGCCAGATAACCTGAAAGGACTTTCCTCCCCTGCCAAGGTTCTTCAGATTGCCCAAAATGCTGCTAAGAATTCTGAAGGTATGTTAATGTTTGTGAATTTTTGAGCAGGTGGCTTCTTAAGAATACCTGTAATATCCACCAAAAAGAAGAAAAAGAGGTAAATTTTCTGATATGGAGCATTTTTTTATAACAATTGTTAATACTTTTTATTTGGGTATAATTTTTTTGTGAACATATTACACCATAGCAATGCTCCTTTTGAAAGCAGAAGTTATTTGGAAAATATATGAAAACAAACTCAAAATAGTAATTTTCTGGATGTTTCAGACATTACCTGCATTGACTTTGTGGTGTCTTGTTAAACTTCATTTATGTGGAATGTGTGTTTGGGTCATTGTAAAGGATGACTGAGCTTTAGAAGTACAGTACAGTATGTGGATCCTCGGTGTTCACCTGATAAACTGTGCATGTAATGTGTATTTATAGTTGCCATACAGGAAATTTTTTAATTTTAGAGGTGTGGAGCTGGTGTATGTGTGAAATGTGGTACAGTATGTACGAGTACCGTAACTGGTATTTTTAATTGTTGGTTGGCCATTATGTAAGAAATCGTATATTGAGGAGCGATGCAAGTATTTGTGTGTAGACATAAATATTCAATATTTGTGTTGTGTATTAGTAGTGTTTATGAAAGAAGCAGTTAGCCCACACAAGCGTGGAAAATGGTCATAAAACATTGATGATGATGATGTGTGACTGGTACCTGTGTGTGTGTGTGAGAGGGTTTGTTTAGTGTGTAAATGGACATCCTCTGATGAGACTTATGGCTTGCACTATGTTGCTGGTAAACATGTGTGATGTGTGTGTATAACATCATTCAAATATGGTTATTGTTACCCTATGTATAACATAATCCTCCCCGTTAGCTTGACCTCAGAGATTGTCAAACAAAGCTTTTCTGAAATTTGAGGAACAATGTGTAACATCATTAACCAGGTGGCTAGCTTATGTAATTATTGTAAGATACTGGAAGTAGGGTGTATCATAAAGATAGCCATTGTAGCAGGGTTTACTCAAGCAGATGGTGATCATAATCCTAGTTTACCTGAAGTGTGATGGATCCGTGAAGTGTCCTGTAGCAGAAAAGTCTATCAAAGTAGCTTCCTATAAAGTAAATCAGGTCTATAGTTTGCAAAGCGTTAGTGTAAAGGATTTAAGACATTTTGTTCAACAGCTCGTGGTAAAAAATAATAACTTGCTCTGGTCATTGCTAGTTTAATGCCTGCCATTGGTGTTTTTCTAATGCTTGTTTTACAAAGTTTAAATTGTATGAAGCACAAATATATTAGGTAGGTGACAAGATTGGAATAGTGAAAATACAACTATAAACTTACCAGTCAGTGCGTGATTTATTTAACTTTGAATTGACTGAAACAATGTTGTGACATCATTTCAATGTCACTTCAACAATAGAATAGTATCTATCAGAATAAGATTCATCAGATGGTTTCTTGTAGGAATTTGGTGCTGTACAGTACTGTTTCTCTAAGACTGTACAGTACAGTATCACCAAACTGTTTCTTATAATGTTAGATAATGCAGATGATACAAAAGGGTTTGGCCAAATATTTCATGGATTAAAACATAAGTCAAATCCAAGTATTAAGAGACCATATTATTTATTGTAGGTAAAGATAGTACTGTACAGCATTGTAGTGTAACATTATCTGTCAGCCTAATGTTGTAAGACAGGACTTGCATCAAAGTCTCACAAAAACAGTGGTTTTACATAGTTCCAGTGGGTGTCATGACTTATGAATAAATTTTTTATGTGTTCCTTTTTCGTCTACCTTGCCAGTACTCTATATTTCTGCTTCATATGATACAAACATTGTAAATAACATGTTAAATTGGAGATCTCAGAGACAGGCATTTAATGGAGGGATCATGACGCTCAGCTCATGACTGACAAGAGATGATGGTCCACGTCTGAGTTACCTCAGTGATGTGTTTTTCCTCTTGCAGGCTCCTCCTTCTACTATAGCAGTGTTGCCAACATGAAAATTTTACCCTCCACTTATTAACGCTGGGCGTCAGACTGCACTCATCCCTACTAGAATTAATGTAGATTTAAGGAAAGATTTATATATATACTATATATAAACCCATTTTCACTAGAAAACATCTTAGCAAACCAAAATTAATGTAATAAAACTGTAGAACTACTGGTTTTAACCACTCATTAGTCCAGATTGACGTAAGGTCACTAACCCGCAAAACCGCAGGTACAGTACAGTCTTTCTGTACCCCTGCCAGTCTTGTTTCTCACGCCTGGATCCAACACAGTACAGGTACAGTCAACAAATTAATACGAAACGATATATATATAATACCTCTAAAATAACCAGATTATTGCATGGGTTGTGTGAGTTCTGTGATTCCATCTTTTGAGCGTCACATGTGATCTAGCAGTGAGCGGGATGGGACACGAGATGATCGGTTGTGCTGTACCTAACACTTACTCATAGGGACCATAATCATCACCCTAACACTCATCCCTTATCATTATCATGACCCATAACTCGCCTTCAAGTGAATTTCATTGCATTTCCTTCTCGAAGATTAGATTTTTTTGTCATTTATTGTCTTGGTGACCCATTGTCTTCGGAACTATTGCAGTGAACTATAGCTTGTCGATATCAACTTGTATGATATTAATTTCATTCCTGCCATCATTTCATTCTCCAGGTCTTCAATGCGAATTCCTGTGTGGCTTCTGCTGATATTTAATATCTTTTACCTTATTAATATATCTGTGATAATCTCTACTCACCATCACTCACGGAGACTCGCCTTACTGACTCATGACTCGGTGGGTTGTTGAGGGGCTCCTCGTAACTTCACTAATTATCTGCTCCTAACCTCTCCACCATCTACTCCACCACCTCCTCCAACACCCTTCACCACTCCTCCACCACATCACCAGCGAGACGGCTAAGGAACCTTCAAGGCTCCTCCAAGCTCAGAACGAGGACCTTGATCGTCAACAAAGGTCAGTTTTCCGGACACGATACGCTAGCTATGGCTAAAGTCCAGAAGCATAGCTACCAATGAAGGTCAGTTTGTGCAGACCTTAATCGCTTATTATTGTCAACTTTCCTTTCAGTGAAAGTTAATCGTAGTGTTTAGATACTAATATCATCAATATCGGCTTCTTAGTGTGTAGAACAAGCAGTAGTTAGTTGTACGTCTCACTTGCAAATGCAGGTCAGTTTTCCTGGCCCTTAAAGTCAGTGATGAGGATTCTACATGTGCTTTGTTGGTTCAGGGCCTCTGTAGTTCACACAACCACTGGAGGCAACCTGGGATCAACAGAGATCTTCTGCATGTTCAGAATTAAAATAGAGACTTAAGAGTCTAACTCTTATGAATTTTATTTGCAGTTGAGTACAGTATTTGTTGGAATACATGAAAAGCTGTTTGCACCTATCTTAACAATGAGGACAGAACAGCAGAAGGTCACTGTTCCCAGGGGAAGATCAGCATAATATTTACTACACTGCTTAAAGAAACAATGGAAAAGAACAGTGGAAGGCAAAAAAAAAAATCATCATATATCAATACAACAATAAAATATTGCCTAAGTAAATGATAAATTTTTTCCCTGTTACTGTAATGTTAATCCTCAAGACATTCATAGCTGCTGTATGTGAGCTACTTTCCATAGTTTAATACTCAGGCTCACATTTTGAATCGATTTGGTCCATTTAACTGTTCTGCCTTCTGAAGTGAGGGGAAAATACACACATTAATTTGAAACTTTGGTTAGGATCATGTAACTTGCCTCCCTTAAAAGAAGACATGTTTATCCATAAATTTTATTAAAAGTTTTGGTGACAGTACATACATTAACTCATAAAAAGTGTTGCATTAGAGACTTGGATAAATGTGGTAAACGGCAATATGTCTCGCACACAGACGATGCCTCAGATCCGGGTGGGTCGGTTGAGGAGCTGCCCCCTAATCCCCGCCTCTCCTCTGAGCAAAGATCAGCTTTACTCTCGAGTGATGAGCGCTTCACCACCTCCACCAACATCAACACCGCCTCCAATGTTGCCTCCACATCCTCCTCCACCTCAGTCACCAACACCACCATCAGGAGGATGGAAGAGAAGATGACCACATTAGGAGGTAAGGAGATTAAGTTACAGTACAGGAAAAATAAAGTTACATGTACAGTACTGTATGTCAAATAAGAAACTGTATTGTACAGTATGATACTGCATGATAGATGGGTTTTATTTCTTTGTGTCATGTCTACAGATATTTCCTATACAGTACTGTATTTGTTACTCAGTAGTTTTCTCATTTCTATATTTATTTTGATGTCATCCCACTTAGAGAATTAGGTTAAGCTAGGTTAGGTTAAATTGCACAAAACAGATGATTATAATCCAAAAAACAGTCATTGCATTAACACCTAAGGTTATATATAGCATTAAGCACTGTTAGTAGTTTAAGTATTGCTCAGGCTACTATCTGGTCTCTTAGTGTAGAACTTCTGTACCTTAGGTTTTTCCTGGTCATGCTTTTCATAATTTGTGATGGATCAGACAGTGACTGTTTGTCACATCCAAATATTTTATAACATAACAGAATTTCAGTATTCTTACTTAAACACAATCTTGGTTGAACTGACTTGACTATATGAGGTAACTTGTATTTACAGAGAGGCGTGTAACCTCGAGTGTGCCTCTGGGGTTACCGCCCGATGGGAGGAGAGGCACCAGGGGAGACCATGCCCCCACCTCAGGTCTTGATCACACTCTCAATGTCAGAAGAGACCACGCCCAAATCGGGGAAGACCACGCCCACACCGCTACCCTCGACCATACCCTTAATGTCAAAAGAGACCACATTGGAGAAGATAACACCTATAGTACTGGGAGAGACCATGTTGTTAATGTCAAAAGAGACCACATTGGAGAAGACCACACCCACACTGGGAGGGATAGTATTATGAATGTTAGAAGAAACCACACTCATATTGGGGAAGACCACACCCACTCTGGGAGAGACCATATTGTTAATGTCAGGAGAGACCACACCGAGGAAGATCACACCATCAGTGTCAGAAGAGATCGTGCCTTTTCTGGAGAGGACCTCATCCACACTGGGAGAGAGGACTACACCCACACTGGGAAAGAGCACACACCCAACATCAGGAGAGAGAGAGAACATGCCCACATTGGTGATGATCACACCCACACTGGGAAAGAGCACACTCTCAACATCAGGAGAGAGAGAGAACATGCCCACATTGGTGATGATCACACCCACACTGGGAAAGAGCACACTCTCAACATCAGGAGAGAGAGAGAACATGCCCACATTGGTGATGATCACACCCACACTGGGAAAGAGCACACTCTCAACATCAGGAGAGAGAGAGAACATGCCCACATTGGTGATGATCACACCCACACTGGGAAAGAGCACACTCTCAACATCAGGAGAGAGAGAGAACATGCCCACATTGGTGATGATCACACCCACACTGGGAAAGTGCACACTCTCAACATCAGAAGAGAGAGAGAACATGCCCACATTGGTGATGATCACACCCACAATGGGAGAGACTATGCCATCAGTGTCAGAAGAGACCACACCCACTCTGAAGAAGACCATCCCCACACTGGGAAAGACTACACCGTTAATGTTGGAAGAGATCGCACCCACTCTGGAGAAGACCACTCCCATACTGGCAAAGATCACATGGAGTCCACCACTTGTAAGTCTGAGGCATTTGTTTCTGATAGTCTGTATTGTCAGAGTGTTGGAATTTAATGGTGGAAGAAAATTGTTTGGGTGTGAATCTCCTCAGTTCTTCCTGGGTGAAGGTGACTTAACTTCTGGCCTTTGTTCTGTGGGTTATAACTCTTGAGACTGTGTGGCTACAATTAGGGTAATGCTGTAACACTTAAGGCTATGTAGGGTAACATGTTTTTATTTTGTTTAATTATGAAAATGTAGGTGATTCATGTAATTGGTAATGAAAACCGCAACTAGGGGAATCTTAATTGACATTTCACTAAAATGGGATGATGGTGGTGAGAGCAGCTCAGTCTGGTCTTAATAAATCTTGGTCAGCTCTGCCAACGATACTGTAAACTGTTACGGCAAGTTGTTTGTTGAATAGGTGAGAAACTGGGAGAGTTGGCAGAATGGGGACTATACTGTATGTATGGATCACAGAGATAGATGTGGCTCGTAGAAATTGTTACTTTCTGTTCTTTCCCCTCCCTATCCCAGACCTGAGCTCGAGCACCACTTCTGTTGATGTTGTGGACGCTGTAAGTCACCGGCTTCAGGCCACCTCAACCCACCATACTATCGACCCCTCCAGAGTGTCTGTCAGTGGGCCTGGTGTCAGACTGGTTTCTGTTAGCTCTCAGGCAGAGTTCACTGTCAGCACGCCTCAGCCACTACGTCAGGAGGAAGTGAATGTCAGGATCACAGGTGAGCACATACATGTAATGGATTCTTCTTTGTTTTTAGCTATTGATGTCAAAGTTTACCTCTTGCATAATCAATGTCTTTCTAGGTTCTTACTCAACATGGCATTTCTATATTATTCAAAATCTACACGAAAAATGGAATGTTATCTGTTAATCGTGCAAGAGAAAAAACTAGCATGTCATCCTCATATTTATTCATTATTACTGTCAAGTATCAGTCTGTTTATTCAATTCCATCTCTGACATAACTTTACTGGCTGTATCATCTTAACTGTTTCTCACTGTCACACTCCTTTATTTACTATTAATTTGCACATCCTCCTCTTCTCTACTTTTTAATTGGATGCCATACCTGGGTGACCCCCCTCCAGATGTGGAGTACCTGTGGCACCTGCCATGATCTGACCTCGACTGACTTGACATCATCTTTGCCACATCTGCTGACCCAAGGATCACTCCTTACCGACACTGACTTCGACCAACTCCATGTTATATGAATATGTAAATTTTTGTATATATAGCTTAGTAGAACAATAGAAAATTCGCCTGGGAGTTTTGCAAGTTTGAATTGTGCTTTTGTGTATGGTAATAGCCGTAAATAGCAAGTTTTGTTGAGTGCAAAAAGCTTTACACAGAAAAGCTGTTGGATCTGTGACACTCATGTCAAGCGACTTTCTCAACAAGAAAAGCAAGCTAGAAGGATACCGTTTACATGTCTTGTCTTCCTCCCATATTACATTGACTCACTGGTCCGGTGGACTACATCATGACACAAATATCTCGCTTGATATGAGTAAGGTTGTTATTAATGTAGTGTAGCTTCTAGAATACTTCTACAGCCAGAAACTAGAGCAAGACAGAAGTCACCCTGGTGAGTGGTGACCATCCAGTTCTTCAAATTTACTGTATGGTATATGTAAAAAGTTGATTATCATTGCATCAATAGTGGACATCTTGAAGATCTTGTTACGGGGTAGTTTGATATATATTACAGCTAATTGGACAGATGTAGACATAGACATAAAATTTTCTTGTACAGTACTGCTTTAGTTTCAATTAATTTACTTTAATTTCAGATTATTTCTTTACTCTTGTTGATCAACATATTTTGTTACTGTAATAGTTAATATTGTTTTTACCAGGCATAAACTTTTATCGTGTCTGAGTGCTTTAAATAAACACTAACTTGAAAATGCCACTTTTTATTTATTTTTTAACCCATTGTAATCATAGTCAGTAGAATTTCAAAGTACAGTATATTTTATGGAACATAAGAGAAGCCTTCACCCTTCCCAACATTCACAACATGTAGATCCCTTCACAGGTGACCAACATTCTTAACATGCACATACATTGTATCTTCATGGCAGATCAACTTTTTCCACATTTACACACAAGAACTTCATTATATTTACACTAATACACCATCTTAATATTTCCCTGACTCCCATTACATCCCAACAACCCTTTCCACAAGCACACTTACGGCATTGTCTTTCACAACCACAGTTTACCAACTTTTTTCCCAACGACAAAATACACACATTGCGAACATATACAGTACACCATAACAACATTGACACCTAACAGCACATATATTCTGTCATGAACACTGCCAGTTTTGTACAGCTGGAGCATGTGTGCCTCTCACTACTGTGATCCAGATTGGTTTCTGCTTGGATCAGGTGTGAGACGGGTGCTGTCCCTTATGATCCTGTTGAACATGGCAGGTTTCCTCGGGGTACTCCAGATCCTTCCTGGACTCATGGGGGATGATTCTTACTGGACCTATAGGAAGCCCAGTTCATCATAACTGATAGTACCATCTATTATAAACATAGATACTGTATCAGTAATAACATATGTCTTGCCATACACGCCTTTTAAAGTCATACACCATACAGTAACAGCATACAATATATACCAACACCTATATAATACAAAATGTAATCTTTGTATATCTTTCTATGCCAATGTTGACACAATAATAACACTGTCGGTGTGCCACCATGGCCGGACAGGTCCAGGGAAGCGGTCAGTGCCAGTTGGAACTCAGACCACTGCTGGTGGGGAGGTGATGGCAGCTTTCACACCCCTGGATGTGGGAGAGTACATTGTGGACGTCCGTGTTGGTGACAGCAGAGTCCCTGGGAGTCCCTTCAGGTAAGTTGACTCTGCTGCCATTTATGCTTATGTATTCTAAATTTAACTCCACAGAGTTCTTTTTGAGAATAATGTACTTGAGTTTATGCAGTAATTTTGAAGCAAAATTTTCTGTTGTTACCATCACAATATTATAAGTTATTTTGAGTTGAAATTAATTACACTTTTTTAGATTTAGAAGTAGAGTACTGTAGTGGAAACAAATATTAATCAGAAGTGAATGTGTTGGCAGGTGTTATGTGTACAACTCGCAGGAGATCCGTGTGGGTACCATCCCAAATGGCATCGTTGGTAGACCCGTTGAGTTTGAAAGTAAGTCCTCACTTATACATACAGTTGTTTTTATTTCCCTCTCTTTTAATTGATTAGTTAAGCATACCCAGTGAACTTGAAGAGTACTGTATTGTAAAAAAAAAAATGTTTGGGACTTTAAATATCTCCTAAAATGCTCTGTCTTGCTCCTCAGTCGATGGGTCCTCAGCGGGCTCAGGCAACCTTGAGATCTTGGTAAACGGAGGGCACGTGACGTCTTACGTGAGGAACCTGGGTCAGCAGAGGTTCCTGGCATCCTTTGTGCCACACTCCGCCATCCGTCATGCTGTTGAGATGCGCTTCAATGGGGAGAAGGTCCCGGGTGAGTGTTCTAGTTGAAATGTTATACTTAATTATCATTCATTAATGTATTATAATGTAAGTTGCGTGATTGCTATGAAAATGAATTTTTGATGCTATTTAACTGACCATAATGAAGAGTGTGAATAAACATCCAGTATGGCAGAATGGTTCACCCTCATAGACAGGTAAGGGGATGTCTACTTCATAATTCTGATATAAACGATCATCATACTTCATGTCTTGGTAATAAACTAGTAGAGCGGTTGCCTCTCACTCATGTGTTCTGGGATTAATTCCCTGCCTAAGACAGACATGAGGATGGTGATAACCAGTGTGACCCTACCAAACATGGCAGGTAGTGTTTGTGTATTGTTGTTATTTTGAATTGTCTTTATCTGTACATGTATCTGTACCTCTGCTTTCTATGTGTACAGGCAAGACGATGGTTAGCAAGAAGTATGGTTCCTTTGTGGTGATAAACTGGCTTTTGACACTACTGTAATGTAATTTATGGGGGAGGGGGGGTGGCATCCTTGGCAGGCCTCTCAGTACTGTATATCTTTGACCTACAGGGAATTGAGACTAGTACTAATGAGACAGGGAGACTTGAACCAGGAAGGGGAGGAAGTTATTGCCATTAGACTATTAAGCTGCTTAGGCTGCTGCTGTCTAGGTTGATAGATAAGTTGACATATATCCAGTCAAATCGTCATATAAATTGACATTGATTAGGGATGTATATAAACAATGCAGGTATACAGTTCAACATGATATAGACAATGCAGGTACAGTATACAGTTCAACATTTAGACAATGCAGATATACAACTCAGCATGTACAAAATCTTTTAAGATGTTGTTCCTGGTGATACCACGAGAACAAAAATAATATTTTCTGGTAAGATTAACACGAACTGGTAACTGCAGAGAACCTGTTATGAGGGTTGCCAGATTAACGAGACTTGGAATGCGTTTCATATTTCGTCTCGGGCAATGTTGTTGTTTTCTCCTCTCGTCGTCATTTAATACCAGTTTCGTAATAATTAATATCCCCAACTTTGTAAGACTAAACTACATTGTCAATATCCTGTATCTGATAAAATACTCAAACTCGTACATCTAGTAATTTTTTTCTTGAATCGTTTTGTAAATTTATCGTATTTTAGTATTTATATTTTTAAGTTCTTTGCTCAAACTATAAGCCAAAGACTTAAAGAAAGAAGCTGAATATATGGTACAGGACGAGAGCTCATCATAACATCCTGCTTAAAGTCCGCTTGATTTACGTGTGTGTGTGTTGACTGAGGAATTTTTAGTTTCCCGTTGTGGCTCCGGGTTTTGTGAGGGTTTTCCAGCTGGTGTGAGAGCTAATCTAACACACACACACACTTAAACTACAATATATCACAAGTATTGGTGTTAAAATGGCGTCGAAATTGCACCGAGATTCCTTTGTATTGTTTTCTGTTTTATTTACGGTAAAAATCTGACGTACGACTGACTGAGGATCTGGGTGGTGAGATGGTGCGTACACACGTGAAGGAAAATATTAAGACGAGGTTGTGTGTGTGTGTGTGTGGAGATGATCTTTAGTGTGGCTTGGTTTCTCGTGGTGGTAGGTACAACAGTTTGGCTTGAGATTGATTATACATACATACATACATACATACTAAGAGACGTCAATTTTGTGTTCACGCAGTTGATGAAAAGTAATAATTTAGTTTCTCTTATGTTCAAGTACAACAGATCCGCCCCCCATTTACTTGAGCGCGGTGGTATGATAGATAGAATAGTGTTGATAGATAGTGTGTTGTCATGTGCAGCAATTGGTGTAGAAAGTAGAGCGTTTGGGATCACGTTGATAAAGATTGACAAAACTCTGAACTGTTATTATTGGGTGTGTGTGTGTGTGTGTGTGTGTTGGTCTGAGTATGATGTGGTTGTGAGTATGATGTGGTTGTATGTGGTGGTTGTGAGTATGATGTGGTTGTATGTGGTGGTTGTGAGTATGATGTGGTTGTATGTGGTGGTTGTGAGTATGACGTGTGGTTGTGAGTATGATGTGGTTGTATGTGGTGGTTGTGAGTATGATGTGGTTGTATGCGGTGGTTGTGAGTATGATGTGGTTGTATGCGGTGGTTGTGAGTATGATGTGGTTGTATGTGGTGGTTGTGAGTATGACGTGTTGGTTGTGAGTATGACGTAAAGGTTGTATGGCGTCATAATTGTGAGTGACGTGAATGTTGCCAAATACATATTACTGTTCCCCCGAAAATTCCTAAGTGATTCGAAAATGAATTGTTTGAGCGTTAGTAGGAGAGAATGAATGTAGGTATGTCAAGTAGAGTCTAGGTATAATTACGAGGTATTTTGGCATTCTTTCTCTTTCTTTCTCCGTTTTTCTCTTTTTTCTTAATTTTCCTCTTATTTTATCCCGCTCTCTTTTATCATTTATCTCTTTTAGCTGTCATCTCTTTTATCTACCTTTCTCTTTTATGTCTCCCTTTTATCTTTCTCTCTCATCTCTCATTTGTCTCCCTCTTTATATTTTATTTCTTATAATTGTTTTCTCCTCTCTCTCTCTCTCTCTCTCTCTCAGGGATTAGGTAAACCTGTTTGATGTGTTCTAACTTAAGACGAAACATTATCATAAGAACCTTTTTTTTTAGAATCCTGGCTCAGCTTAGGATAATTTTTATACCGAATGACATTATGTTGATAAAATTGCCGAGTTGTCTTTTTTTTTAATTAGTTTTTATTTTGGTTTTGAGTTTTTGTTTACGGTTGTCACGGAGTCGGCGAGGTTTATGTCCGCTTAGTGAAGAGGCACAAGACGCCATCGGTGTTGGTGTTCAGTGCGTGACGACCAAGGTTTTATACGTCACCCATCCTAATTTTACGCTGGGATAGATTATTAAAAAAAAGAGGAAATAAACGAAGCAAATAAAAGACGACTAGAGTTTTTGTGAAGATTTTTAATTTTACGTTGTTTGTCTAGTTAACTGAATGCCTGTGTGTGTTTTCTTTGTCCATTTTGAATGTTTTTCTTCCGTGAGGAAGGAACGTTTGTTTACAGTTATTCCAAGTCTCTCTCTCTCTCTCTCTCTCTCTCTCTCTCTCGTAAACTACCTGTTGGGTTAATTCTTACATTTATTATTCCCATTGTAATCCAGTGAGGTTTATTTCCCACGCTGTTCAGGGAAAGCCGGGCCTGATTGGCTGCTGACTTTCTCATGTCATTTACATTCAAGATGACGTGAAACTATCTGATTTAATACATACATTACATACTAAGATATATTTGTTTATTATTTCCCCTAATTTGCTTTGAAGAGAAAGTAACTCGTTAATCCATGGTCTCGGTATTAATCTGACGCCATCTTGGTTGTTATTAGTATAAGCCACGCCACGCAAGCCGCAGGTAGGTCCAGCCGGGAGGAGGGGGGGGTTGGCTGCTGTACCCTAACTGGAATTCCTGAGAGCGCGCCTAAACCCCTTTGAGCCGTGCTGGAGGGAGAGAGGAAGGAGGGAGAAACACCTCCCTTTTCCTCCTTCTCCACTTCTTCCTTCTCCTCTTTTTCTTTCTCTTCTTCCCCCTCTTCTTCCTTCTCCTCCCTCTCCTCCTCCTCCTCTTCTTCCTTCTCCTCCCTCTCCTCCTCCTCCTCTTCTTCCTTCTCCTCCCTCTCTTCTTCCTCCTCCCCCTCCTCCAACTTTGCCACATTTTTCGACCCATTTGTTTTATTATCGTACCCAGTCACCCTCCCTGCTGTAGCGTTTGTTTTTTCCTTGGTTTATTTGGTCCATCTATCATCACTATACTTTTAGAGTTGTGTTAATTCTCCCCACTAATTTCTCACTTTTCCACCAAATTATCTTGGTTTTTTTGGTAATATAAACAAGAATGTGGAAGATTGTGTCAGTCTTTGCCACCTTCAGTATTTTGTGTATGTTTCTTTAGCTTTAGGCTTCACGTATAGTGTAGTCCATTATGTTAATTTTCGCAAGTCTGGTAAAAATGTGTTTGCTTTACCGAGCGTGACGGGTTGTGGTGGTGGACCATGTATGGAACTCGCCATTATGTGCCAGGCAATGTTTACAACCCGGCCCCCGCCATCTTACCTGATACACAGTTGCCGGGTATCACCAGATGCCCTTCACAGCCTCAGTATGGCATAGTGGTTATTGATGAGTCGGTATATATATATATATATATATGTTTTCTTTTACAATACAGTAGTTCTTAAATTTATATTGATATGTTCTCTTTTCATATTATACAGATTCAAGATCAGTATTGATTTAGTGTTATCATAACGTATTACCCATTACTGTGTCAAGTGGAATGTTATTTACTGAAACAGGTAAGTAAGTATATGCAACGACAAACGCCGCAACATGAGTAATTAATTTAGCAGTGCTGCAACGTGTGGCAGCTGTTTCAAGACAATGGTGCCACAGGGAGGCTTTAGTTAACCACTTCATCGAAAGTTTACAACTGTGTTTAGAGCTGTACACTTAACAGCATTCACCACACAGGTGTTGTTAATATTTGGGTTGTGATAGTAACCCCACCAACGTATATGCAATAAAGGTTTTACAATGGGAAATAAAAGTGAAGAAGGTGCGAGGAGCGGGGGTCCTGGGTGCGTGCTGGCTGGCCTACTTGTGGCTGGAGGCGGGCTGAGGGTCTGGTGGCCGCGACGCGCTAGTGGCCTCAACACCACCACTACGATCACTACTTGTGCTGCGTTCAACTCTACCAGGAAACGCGGCGCTCTGACATGAAAATCTTGTTCTCCCGCGTATTGCTGTGACTTGTGTGTTAACTTGTGTTGCTATTAAGATGGTGACTGAAAAGTGGTGATTCGTGGTGGTGTGCAGTGAAGCGATTAAAAAAAAGGGACTATCGTCGATCTTGGACCATCTACCTGCTGCCTGCATTCCAATAGTGAAGGTAGGGAGGGAGGACCTACTTCTTCCTCAACTTTCTTGCCCTACTCTACTCCACGCCGTTTCCTCC